GAAAACAGGTTATGTATGAGTCGGTGTCGGAATACATAACATACATCGGCACATACCGATTAAGCATCCAATATTTAATCGGGCAAAACACAAAGAAGCTATATATCGCGTCATCTATCGGACGAACTTAAGATTAAATACAAAAACACTACTCACACCCCATAGGACATATACGTAAAGTTTGGTCTAAATCGGTGCAGTAATTCTTGAAATATAGTGAAAAAACACAAAACACATACCGATTAAGCATCCAATATTTAATCGGGCAAAACACAAAGAAGCTATATATCCCGCCATCTATCGGACGAACTTAAAATTAAACACAAAAACACTACTCACACCCCATAGGTCATATACGTAAAGTTTGGTTAAAATTAGCGGAGTAGTTCTTGAATTATAGTGAAAAACCACCAAAAAGTCTAAATATTGCGCCATCTGTCGGATGAACTTCAAACTACACAGAAACACTCCTCACGCCCCATAGAGCATGTACATACACTTTGGTCCAAATCGGTGCAGTAGTTTTTGAGTTTAGTGATCACGAACATACACGTAATTTTTATATATATAGAGAAGAGAAGAGATATTGCCTAAACTCGGTCAAAATGATCTCAATCTGAAAGAATTTTATTGTGTAAAGGAATTTTTTTGTAACTTATTTTTTAATATTTGTTACATTATTTACAATCATACAAAACGTTGCTATTATTTGTTTTCGGTGGTATGGCTCTCGAGTTTCGCTTTTTGAATAATAAGAGCGCAGACAAAATGTTCGAAAAAGAGTAAGTGTTTACTCTAAGAGTAAAATCACAAATCGACTGGAAATATAAATTTTATTTTTCCCGATGTGTGTGTCGTTTGTGTTTCTAGAGTATCAAACGGTTTCGATGTTGTTGTACTGATCTGGTCATATAAGAAATTTACTTTATACAATACTAAAAGTAGTTTTATTATTTAATATTTCACAAGAGGTCAAAATGACCGATTTTAGGCAATATAGGTATAGCACATGTGAATACGGGGAATGCAAGAGGGGGAGCAGCTACTATGATTAATAAATGTAGTTCTATGTGGTAAAAAAGGTCACCAAATTTTGAAAAGCTGTGTCAAAATATACACAATTGTTTTTGTACTTGAAATTGAAAAACCGTCAAAATGACCGCCTTCGGCAATCTAGTGTTAAAATATTAAAAGGTAATAATCCCTCAGACTTCCTAATTTCATCCATTAGAGAATAAATGTCCCTTTTCGATCCAGTAGATATTATCTACAATTATACGTAGATTTTCATCGCACAGATTATTTTATGGGAGATTCACTAAGTAAAATGTGTATTGATTTCAACTCTGTGTATTCTAACGTAGATTTTTGCATGAATGTAGAACTAATAAAATCGAATATAATTGTATTTTTAAATACTTAAAACTTAATAACAAACTGGCTGTGGAAGTAGATTTCTGTATCTGGTTTTCTATCCCTTCTCATATTCCATCATAATGCGGATTAATCTGTGTACGCGATCCCTACGAAAGTGGAGGTCGCTCCCTCGGTCGGCAGGGGTGCGAAAAAGAGGCATGGGAACGGTCGAAAAAAAAACATGGGTACTAAAATTTTTAGTTTCAAAAACTGTTCTGACATATGCAGTTTTTTTGAAAACAACAAAATTTGTTAAAACATATTAAATAGATTCCACATTCGTTATCGACGTAGCTGACATATGCTAGTCTATATTAATAAAATAACAAAGTGATTGACTGACAGATTTAACGATTCATCAACGCACAGACGAAACGACTGAAGGTAGAATATTGTAATTTGGAGTTAGGGTAACTCTAAGACAAGTCTTGATTTTTGGAAATTTGTTCTAGAACGGCAGGAAAAGTAACTCTAAGATAAGTCTAGATTATTGAAAATTCGTACCAGAACGGCAGGAAAAGGTCAGAAAATGAATAAATATGCTACCATTTGTATTTGGCGAACCGGATATGTGCTAAATTTGATACAATTTGAATTTTGGGTGAACCGATATACCTGGAATCTTGAAATTTAGAATTAGTATCACTGTTGGAGTGTAGGATTAGAGTATGTAGGAAATTTTGGAAATGCGTACATATATGTACTAAATTTTAGTTTGTGTGAACCGATCCTGAAATTGGGAAGTATGATATATATTGAATGGTTGATGTGGGTATTTATGGAAATTTATATTAATGTACATTAAAATTTAAATTTTGGATTTGTGTGAACCTTTACAGCTCGAATCATGAAACTTGGAAATAAGTACTATAGGAGTTCAAAAGGTAATAAATGTACCAAATTTAATATAGAGCTAGATTTCTATTGTGTTCAGAATTGTAGATTTGAAATACGTAGGTAGTTTTGAAAATTCGTACTGTGAGAGAACAAAGGCACTAAATGGTAGTAAAACTTCAGTGGATATTGGTATGTAGTTTGATTAGCATTCTGCAAATACTAAATTATATATTTACACATGTTTAAATAATTTCCACATTCTCTAACAAAGAAGCGGGCACATTCTGCTAGTACTATAATATTATTATTGAACACACATTTTCATAGTTTAAATATTTTGTATGGCCGCCTTTTGCATCTACCACACATTGTAGACCTTTTGTATAGAATAGGCCAATTTTGCATGCCATAATTGTCGTGAATATTGTGCCACTAATATATGTTACCATTTTGCTCATATTCGAGCGAAGTCAATAATCCCAGTTCATACAAGAGCCGAATATTTACTCTTTCTTATTGCTTTGGAATTTTGAGATACGGATGTTCCAGTAATCGACAATCATGTCCACTGTCGAAGAGAATTAATTTTCTTTAATCACAAAAACAACAATAAGACAACAACATTTTGTCAATTTATTTACTTCTTCTTTAAGTCTTCAAATACGTGTATGTGAAGTTAACAGCCTTTGACATTATATATGAGAAATCGAGAATGGGTGGGACCCCTCAATACATTGTCTTTTGTATATGTTGGAGGCCGCACAGCCTGCCCTATGGTTGTGTGGCCGTCGTGCGTACCGATGACGACCTCATCGATTTGGAACTTTAGGTCATCGGTGTTCTCTCATCTTCGAAGGGGATTTAATCGAGAAAATCCCATCTCTACCACTTCTGAATATGTAGTGAAACAACCAAGATCGCCTTGATCCCCAATTTGTCCAAACACCTACAAATCCATTTTAAATAATAAAAATCTGTCGCCTTGATAGCGGGTTACAGTGAATTTTATTTATTATTTATTTTGTGCCAAAATCCATCACGTGAGTATAGCCCTATACTTGTGGCGTTGTTTTGTTGTATATTTGTATGTGTTGTAGTTGTTGTAACTCTTAATTCAAAGGCTCTAAATTCCTCTCAATTTAGACATCGCCACAGATCCTGCGTCCTTGTAAGAGTCTCTACATGGTGCTTCGAGCCTTTTAACACGAACTACAAAAAAGTTTTATTAACAATTTAACACCTTAAACACACTTTATAATTTCACCATTCTTTTACTTTATTAAATTTATTCGTTTACAATATTCGCGGACAGGCGACATATTGTTTTGTTGCATTAGTGACTACGTTCAGAGTATCCGATACCGAGTACTCTTGTTCACATCAAAGTGTTCATAACAAACGTAACATAATAACTTGCTCTCAAAGTTTTTAAAATAAACTTTTGTTGAGCACAAAGCTATTACAGCCTAAATTAATTTTAAATTTCAACTTCTCTTTATTTCCATAATAAAGTAGAAAGTTAACAAAAGGCAAAAATAGAACCAAATAATATTAAAATAAAAAATAAATTCCATAAAAATATATGAAAATGAAACAATACAATAATAAAAATTAAATTAAATAATTAATATTAAAACATGCAAGGAAATGGGATCAGCAATTTGTGCACGTTTCAACTTCGACATGGTGAATTTAATGGGAGCATGAGCTAAGATATTAAATATGTCCGAAAACGATCTATCAGATTCGATGATTGAAACAAAATTAAAATCGTTAGATGAAGACTGGCATAATGAACGTACTGCCTAAGAAAACGCTTAATTTGCCGATGACAAGGCAATCAATCAAGACTTTAAAAAGGTTTTAAAATTTGAGTTTGATTCCACACGGGATCAATACCAACTCACAAAATTTAACTTAATGGAAGATATGAAAAAAAGACGAAGTCAGTCCGTCAGTTCAGGTCGAGAAGACCTAACAAACCCTTCACTCGTTCATAGCTCGGCCATGTACCCCCAACTACCACCTTTGACATGTCGGAGGTGTGTATCAAAGTGCTATGAAGAATGGCCATTTATGGCAATCACCCCAGACTGACACCAGCACAAAAATTATATCACCTAAAAAATATAACTAAGGTAAAGCTGGCAGGATTGTAGACAGATTTTCGTTATCAGATCTAATTTTTTCTCTATGACGCACTAAAGAAACGGTATGAAAACAAACGAGTTCTAGTTAATAACCAATTAAAAATTCTGTTTGAAATAGCGCCCGCCAAAAACGAAAATAATGAAAACATAAAAAGGATCCAATTAACAATCAGTGCTTGTCTCGCAATGCAATGAAAGCACACGACATCAGTGTGAGCGAATGGGATCCTATTTTGATATATTTATGTTCCACGAAACTTCCAATAGAAACTTTGACATTATGAGAACAATCACTTGAGTCACACGCTGACTTGCCAAAATGGTCTCAAATAGAAGAGTTTCTAATCAATATACATTAAGTGCTAGATAGAATTGGTCGAATAAAAACGCAAAACTCCCACACACTTTTTAATAAATGCATTTTATGCTCTAAATGTGTACTTAGAAATTGTAGCAGATTTAATAATGTGTTAGCGAATCTAAGTTGCAAAAGAAAAACGAAAGAGAAATTTTCTGTAGAGCATTTATTATTTTTAATAGTTTTATGATGCATAGTTTTAAATCGGAACTATTACATTTGTCATTTTTATTTTTCAGATGGATGGCAATTGAATCTCTTTATGACAATATATTCTCCGCTAAATCTGACATATGGAGCTTCGGTATACTAATGTGGGAAATTGTAACTCTGGGGTCTACTCCGTATCCCGGTTATTCTGCGGCTGAAGTAATGCGCAAGGTAAATTATACACATAAATGGGAAACATATTTTATACCATGCTTTCACTTCCTCCTTAGGTTCGGGATGGATATAGACTAGAAAAACCTGAACATTGTCGACGTGAGCTATATAATATAATGTATTATTGCTGGTCTAAGGATCCAAACGACCGTCCGTCATTTGAAGAGCTTGTGCAAATGTTGGATAGACTATTACAAGCGGAGATGGAATATATTGAGTTAGAGAGATTTCCAGATCACAATTATTATAACATACCAAGCGTAAGCGGCGAAAAAGTATAGTATATTATATGAAGTTTACAAAATTATACTATTATACATTTTAAATAAAATATGTTTTTTTATATTTATAAAAAATAAAGAATATAATTAAGAAAATCATTCACGCATTTTTTGATATACAAAATACATCGGCAACTCTTTAGAATAGTGTCCTGTATTTAGTAAGTTATACCATAATAATAGTAACTTCATACTGGAATTGTCTCTACGTATGTAAATCGCTATTTTATTTGAATATCAATTGTTATGTATTGCATGTTCCGTAACATAAAATATATCAGTCTTTTTGACCAAACCAAAGACCATATATATATAAAATTAAGAATCATATTGATACATAAAAAATTGTGTTAGATGCCAAACGGAAACGTTTTGATATTTGTACAAATAATACAATTTATATTGCTTTTTTAATTTATTTTATATTTCTTTTTTTTTTGTCTTTGTTTTACTGAACATATTATTAACAGTGTTGATGGTCTTTAAAGCTATCTGGAATTTGTCCTTATTGTACACATTTTCGGAGAGATTTTGCAGATCTAATGTGTACAATAAGGACAAATTCCAGATAGCTTTAAAGACTATCAACATTGTTAATAATATGTTCAGTAAAACAAAGACAAAGACAAAAAAAGAGGATAAGTGCAATGTAGTTTATAGGATAGCATGTAACGGTGACGAAGGTGATGTATGCCAAAAGGTATACATTGACACGACAAAAACAAAATTAAAAACTAGACTTTCCAGACATAAATCCGACCAAAAATCTGACAAACCATTGGAGCAAAAGACGGCGCTAGCAGCACACTGCACTTTGACTGGTCACAAACCAAATTTCAAAGATATTGACATTGTAGCACAGGAAAATAATTACAGGAGACGATTTACATTAGAAATGTTACACATCATAAATGTACCGACGGAAAAAAGAATTAATTATAAAACTGACACAGACCACTGTGCACATATCTATAGGAACTTAGTACATAAGCACAGACGAAAAAAGACAACTTAGTTTGACTGTGACGTTAAAGTAATGTAGACGCTTTTCCTCTACATTAATATAAATGTAAGATTCGTGAATTTGTCGTTTATCAATTTGTAACTAATTGTATTCTTTGTAACAGATCCCTGAAGATGATTGTCGATGACAATCGATATATTGGAAAAATAAATAAAAAACAAAGCTAAACAAAAACAAACGTTTTTCATTGACCTTCAGCCGAACGATCATCAAACAGAATTAAAAATTTCCAGGTCAACTATAAACAACAACAAAATACACGGGAGGCACACCGAAAAGAGTAAGATAACAAGTTCAAAATGCAATTGTATAAAGAGATAAAAGAAAAATATGATGACAACACGATCAACACCAAGAAACAATATTCAAAATATAATAAACAAACCTCAATTCTGACAGCGTCCATAACATATTAAATAAAGTGTAGAAATATAGGAATAATACCAACATTCATTAGCAACACAACAAAAAACACATACAACATGTTCAAAAGAAACGACGAAATCCCGCCAAATTTACTGACAATAATAGAAACATACAACTACAATTTCCATTTAAAAATTTTAAAACTTTTAATACAGCAAAAACATAAGGAACTTCGCAACAAAAAAACATTACTTTCAAAAACAAGGGGTAATCTCCAACATTTTATGGACGAGAAAGATTATAACACTTATATTGAGAGCGAAAATTCTCTACGAAAGAGTTATGACAACAATAACAAAACAAGACACATCAATAAATATCAACGTTTAAAAGAAAAACAGAAAGAAGAACTCAACATACAACATAATAAAGAGTGGTTTACCAACAACACAAACGAGGAGATAGCAAACGACGTTCAGTGGATGTTGTCGTTGGGACCGAAGTTCGCTCTGCCAACAACACACACATCATTCCCCCTACTCAATGTTATTGCTGAGAGTGAAGACTGCATACAAACACTGGACAACAAAGAAGAGGAAGAAAATGCAAGAATAAAATTAGTATCACTCATTGACGATCACTTACAGCGGAGAAAACTGAGTATAAGAGATAAATTTATAATTGAAACAGTGGGACAAACAAGAACATTTTTGAAAAATAATAAGGACGTATTAATATTAAACGCAGAACTTAGTACATAAGCACAGGCGAAAAAAGAAAACTTAGTTTGAAAGAAACTACATTAATATAAATGTAAGATTCGTGAATTTGTCGTTTATCAATTTGTAACTAATTGTATTCTTTGTAACAGATTCCTGAAGATGATTGTCGATGACAATCGAAATATTGGAAAAATAAATAAAAAAACAAAGTTAAACAAAAACAAACGTTTTTCATTGACCTTCAGCCGAACGATCATCAAACAGAATTATTTGGAATTATTGACAATAAGCAAACTTAATAGTTGCGTCTGCTTACTCGATATTTTGTAACAATTGTTACTAAATTATTCGGTTCCAGTACTTTTTAAAAGTAAAACCTGTAAAGTGGGAAACATGCCATAAACCCTCTCAGAATACCAAATAATTTTAAAAAAATTTATTGAACGGAAAAGTTAATTTATTGAACTAAAAATGCCAAAATTAGATGGCAATACTTTAAAATCAATACAACAGTCGATCAGAAGTAGTCAATTCTATTTACCATTTTATTCGGCCAAATTTATCGACTAAATAGTTTACTAAGAGAACGTCATTTTGTTCTCATAAATATAGTTGAAAAACTAAATATTTTTTAGGTTAAGGAAAGGTTTTTGAGTAAATAGTTGCAAAACTTGTAAAATTAGTAGAATCATTAAGGTTCTGAAACGGAACTAATGTTGTCTTTTTACCCAAATATCGAGTAAAAGAGAGCAAGTGTGACCAATCCCCAAAAATTGTGTATTTGTTGTTAAAAAAATGAAAAAAAAATCGCGAATCTGCTGATTATTTGCTGAATCCTGTTTACCTTTACAGTATTATTGCAAATGAAAATAACACAGCCTCAAATTGCCTGATATTTATTGAATATATTTACATGTACATGTGTTTGAAACATCTGGTTTTTGTGGAGATTGTAATGTGATATCTATGTATATTTGTTTTCTTGTACAAATACATATTTTAAATTACAACTGTTCATAAAACATTCGAATTGTGCTGCGTGTTTAGAGTCTAAACGCAACTATAGAGTCTAGAGTCAGCGACAGTCGTTTGCCGTGTGTTTCTTATAGGCAACGGGAAATCGCGACGGCTGACGTTCGCGTCTAGCGGCATGACGCTAGAATAGATTTTATTAATTTTTGCTCAGCGTCATACTCAAAATTTCTCTCTTGCTCTCAATTGAGTTGCCATATTTTAGGTAAAAATCAACAATGAGAATTTATATCAAAACAAATGGCAGTGCTGTTAAAAAAAACAAATATTTTCAAAGATTGTGGATGTTTTTTAACGAATTAATAATAAAATGGAAGAAAAATAATTTTTTCAATAATTTTATCCAAGTTCCTTGACATTACTGTTTATTAAATAATAAATTGATTTTGGTTTGCACAACGTAAAATTTTCTGTCAGAAAATGAAAACAAATAATTGACATTTTGTGCCGCTAACGCTAACACTTTCGTTTGGTTTTCACGCCGGCGAAAAAGTATGACGCTGACTCGTGACTCTCTGGTTGCGTTTAGACTCTTAGGCAGCTGAATCATATTTCTTTGACGCCGTCAAAAGTGGCGATGACAGGCGGTGGAGTTAACATTGGCCATATATGAATAATACATATATGCGCTAACGGTTAATTCCATTCAGCAATGTAAACAATTCCAACAGCATCACTGAATACATGACTTGCTGTTTTATTGATTTTGGCATCGTAGGTCAGTTTTCGAGAGAAGTTAAAACGCGCCGGTTGATCCCCCCCTGATAGTGCAAGTGAACAAAAAGACTATAACCTCAACACACAATATACAAAAGGAAAGAAAGAAACTAAACATAATAAAAGTGACCAATTTTAAACCTAAAAATTAAGTTAAAACTGTACAATAAAACTTACTCATAAAAATACATAAAAACTAAAAGTAAAAGAGCAATTCGTAAAACACCAACTAGGGCTTTGGAGGCAATATTATATATATACATCCAAATAAAATATGAAGCGGCGGTTGCAGCTTTAAAACTTAAAGCAATGGACGAGTGGATAGACACCGGACACAACACACCGCATAAAAACATTTTACAGGCAACAAATGAGTCGACTTTCAATATCTTTGATTCAGACCGTATACCTGAAACGAGAGTAGTGACACGGTGCGAAACTATAATACCAGATAGAGAACAATGGAATAGCGGAACACTAGTTCAGATGCCGCCTGGTAACTGTTGCTACACGGATGGCTCTCGACTAGGAGGAAAAACTGAACTGGGACTTTTTATCGAAGAACCGGGTACCGAAATTTCTCTTCGTCTTACAGATCACAGCATGATCTTACAGGCGGAGGTTCAAGCTATAACAGAGTGTCTTAACTGGCTAGTTTCAAACCAAAGACAAGATACAGTAAATATTATTAGGGACATCAAGCAAGCTATAAATGCAATATCTTCCAGAACAGTTAAATCCAAAACTGTACTGGAATGTATAAAAACCATTGCTGATTTCTCACAACAAGGACTTGTACGAATTATATGGGTACCGGGTTACCAAGGAATCATAGGCAACGAGATTGCAAATCAACTAGCCAGGAGTGTCATTGCACTACCCACGAAACACGCCAAGAAATGAGGGAATGGGTACATGAGACCCACAAAACCCATTGGGATAATGACGGGACAGGAAAAATTACCAAAATCATATGGGGCGACCCAAGTGAAGACAAAACTAAGCAATTCCTAACGCTTAACAAAAAAGAAATAAGCCGACTGACGGGACACCTCGGCCTAAAGGCACATCTACTGAAGATTGGATGCAAAGGAAGTAACGAGTGCAGAGCGTGTGGGGAAGACAGTGAAACGCTGGAA